TATATATCTGGAGACGCGACATTTATAAGAATCCAGTAAAAATTTCGTTTTAAAAGCTCTGTCAATTAGAACGAATGTTTTGGGGATATTTATTTGCATATATTATCCGATATCGATCGTATTATGAAATATTCGTATGATCGATGGAATGATTAATATACTGAATTGAGGACGCATGAAATTCGGGAGATCCAGGTTTGAATTCCGGCTGAGGTAATATTTTTTCCAATAAATTATTCCCAATAATAAACCGGTTTATTTTAATTGTATTTATTTTAAATGTATTTTCTTGATACATTAATGTTATTTGTTTATGTGTATGGTTCGTAGTTTTGTTCTGAAATATATTGTGTTTTATTTTGATTTACAATATTTTCAAGATACTTATTAACATCAGTTATTAACACAAAATTTTCTAAGATGCTGAATTGCATCAATATTAGGTGTATCAGAAAGTTCCCTTCGTTTTTATGCAAAAAATATGACTTTATTTAAGAAACAAAATGAAAACGTACATCAATCAAAGTATTGATCATCGTTAGATATGACTTTTTCCCATCTTTCTGGTAAAAGCAGATCCCACGGCGAAAGAACGACTCATCTTTAGAGGCTATCCAGTTAGGCCCGGTTGCACCAACACTTTTTGATTTTAAGCTTAAAACTCTATCTATCTCGTTTTAAAGCCGAAAGAGGAACAGAGACAGTTTAAGTTTTGCTTAAAATCGAAATCACGTTGGTGCAATCAGGCCTTAGAGACCCATTTTTCGACGCTTTCATAAGAGTTGAATGTTCCTCTGCAAGTGCGTGTGCCATCGACCGAAACAAGTAGTAGTCGGAAGGGGCACAGTCTGGTGAATAAGCCGCATGGGGTAGCACTTCCCAGCGAAGTTTCTTCCGAAACTTTCTCAGCTCCTAACGTTTTTTTAAGTTTGTGAGTTTTGTTATGTGAGGTCGAGCGTTGTCATGAAACAAGATCACTTTATGCTGTTTCGTTCATATTCTGGTCGTTTTTCGTGCAATGCTCGGCTTAAACGGATAATTTGTTCTCGGTAAAGATCCCCTGTGACTTCTTCTTAATTAATTAATGACTCCCGCTTCCAAACAATTTAAAAGGAGGTCGATACGGCCAGATCACATCTTATAAATTTGAATTCGTAGGGGCTCAGTCAAAGTCGGCAACATTTTTCCAAAAATATTATGCAATCATGAAAATTGCGTCTACGACGTCGTTACGCCACAATAACGCGCGTCAGGACGCGCGTCAGACGAACGAACGAGTAGAACCAATTTGCGAAACCGCATCCAGAACAAGGAATGCACAGTTAAAGTCCGCAACACTTTCAAAAATATACAATAACGTGCACTCGATCCGAAACGCGTTCGTAACGGTCAAGTGATTCTTCAGAACTAACCTCCTGTGACTGTTTAACCAGATTTCAACAGCTCATAGTACACTATACTTTTCTGATCCTACCAAATACAGAGCATTGTCTTATTTCCGTGGATATTCCGCTTTGGCGTCGATGTCGATGGTTGGCCTGGATCGCAAATGGTTTTTCGGCGTTTGGGATTATTGAAATAGATCCACTTTTCATCACTAGTCACAATTTGGTGCAAAAATCCCTTTCTTTGTTGCCTAACAAGCAGAATTCCGCAGGTAGTTTTTCGCCTTTCAATATCTCTTGGCTTCAGTTCATATGGGACCCATTTTCCTTCCTTGTAGATCTTTCCCAAGGCTTTCAAATGATCAGAAATAACAGATTGAATACAATTTAATGTTTCTGAAAGTTATTTTTGCGTTTGACATGGGTCTTCCTCCACCAATGCCTGCAATTCTTCGTCTTTAAATACTTTTGACCGTCCAGAACGCTCTTTATCTTTGTCCTCCACATCAAAATCACTACTTTGAAAGCGTCGAAACATTCTCTGCATGTTTCATCGGAAGGAGCACTATCACCATAAACTTCTACAAGCATTCGATGAGCTTCAGCTGCAGTTTTTTTCCATTTGAAGCAAAAGATTAATACTTTGTGCAAATGACGCTTACGAGCATTTGGCTCGAATGTCGACATTTTCGATGCAGTAAAAAGCAATATTAATGATGCAAACGTATACTTTTACATACTGAATTTTATTGACAAATGGTAAAACTAAAAAATTAAGCTTGGTTTAGAGATATTAGAGTTATCAACAGTTCTAGCTATAGCTACTCGCCGCTAGATTGACGGAACTTTCCGACACACCTAATAATATTGCTTGTTCATTTAATTTGTGATATTACTATTTTAACTTCAGTTTAAGACTATTTCAAAACCGATAAATAATCGGCGTACAAGTTTGCTCGAACTGGAAATTGTAAATAAATTTGAAATAAATTTATAAAAAAATATTATTAAGCACGAAGAACCGTTTTGACCGACTATGGCATTTTTTATTCATGTGTGCTTAATGAGCTAATGTCAATAATTTTTCTCGACTGTTTATGTAACTAGTATATTTTAAGGGTTTATTTGACATTGAGATATTATCGTAGGGCGTATCTTTTTCATTAGAAAGAGTACAAAATTTTTCCATTAGCACTCAATTATATTTCTCTATAACATTATCCCATATATTAAAATTAATTTACTTTTAACTCTAGTAAAATATCTGGACTACATGATATCTATTTTTTTCTTTAGTAAAATATCAGGATTACATGATATCTATTTTTCCCTTCTCTTAAATATCTTACATATAGTTATACATAGCTGAGAACAAGATCTAGCTTTGTTGCACGCATTTGTGCAGTTCTCATTTCTCATAGCCTACAACTTCTAATACAATAATAACGCACATATATAATACCTCCTATATTTCGAGCGATATGTTTGCATAATGTTTTTAACCACGTTGGTTAATATAACGAGTATAATAAGATTCTCTCACGATCGCGAGTCTCGAATATGGACCACACAGAATAATAATAATAGTAATCGGGAATATAAATAATAATAGTTGCGTTAAATATATAAGTCTCAAATGCAATTATAGATTTAACAATAAAACAGTGGCGTATCATCAGTTTTGTAGTTGAGCAAATGTATAGCAATAAAGAAAGGCGCAATTCGTTTGTTATGATAGGGAATTAGATATCAATGCAAATATTGATAAAAAATATACAAATAATGCTCAATTGATTGCATTTACTGAAGTAGATCGTTTCGCATTAGTTAGCCAGACGTCTTCCATTCTCAGGAGTAGTCTCAATTGAACATTTTAATGCGTGTCCTCTGCGTTAACGCCACTCGTATTTTATCTGCGTTTATATGTAAAGATTTTTCTTTGGATTATTTTATGTACTTTTTTTCCCACGCTTTTAACTCGGGTATCGAAATTGAGATCGAACGTTCACGGAAATTTGGCGATACGGTTTGTCATACGAGAAAGCGTAAGATTGATGTGTAAAAAAAATGCTGAAAGTATGAATGCTTAATTACCAATGTCCTAGCGTTGTAAATATATTAAAGAGAACCGAATTAACCCCCTCCTGAGGACTCTGTACAACAGAGCAGTGCGACGAGGAAGAGAATCGAATATTTAGCTATTTTCTTAAAGATTTGTAGTAAAGCATAAACTGCCTGACTGTAATTGTATATCGATTGAGAAAGTATAGTTTGTAAATGTAAAATATGTAACGGCCGATCGAGGAATTGAATCGGATTATGTCGGAACATTTTATTTTTAAATGTTTCACATGCTTTTTATGCTCTCCGTTAATATATTGATCGTCGCAGTAATCTACATCGTGACTGCATTTTCTTGAAAATCATGACATTGGAATACTATAATTTTAAGATTTTTATTTTATTTTTTAAATATGGAATGTAATCCATATTAAAACATGGAATAAAATGAACAAAATCGCTTAATTTGTAAGTGTTAAATTCCATAATTTTCAAGGAGATATAAGTATCCTGCGTAACATCCATCAGTGTCAAGGAGAATATTTATCGCGGCAATTGTCTCATTATTTTTGTACTTAAAAATTTCCTCACAATTTTTGCATTTAATAGATTGTAAATATGATCTTTAAGCGACGGTATATACATACTGACGATCTTAAATGCTAAATGTGATCGATATTATTATATATAGAAAATTATGTAATTCATCGATAAGAAGACGTCGGCGTCATAGTTTTACTGTATATATAAATTCGAATCATTGCTTACGCGTGATAATTACGTGGTTAATGAAATTGTTGATACTGAGAAATCACGATCTCCGATTTGTACATGATTTTGTATTTGT